ACGGCGCGTGCACGTGAGCCCCGCCTTGCCGCGCGCGCGCAGCGCCCCGGGGACGCCGCTCCGCGAGTCCCGCGTCTCCAGCCCTCGTCGCCTGCTGCGTGCTCCCTACACCCCCTTAGGACCTCGGGCCACCCAAAGCCCGACCCGGCGAAGTCCGCCGGGTGTTGGGCCCTGTGGGCGTGGAGACCTGGAGACCAGGGAGTCATCGCGTATACACCCCCGTGCTTTCGTTCTGGTCCCTATTTGCCACCTGCAGAGGCAGCTCGGTGGATGGCTGGGTCAAGGGGACCTGGGAATGGGAACGGACACCGAGTGCAAGCAGCAAGGTGAGGCCGCCCCTTCCACCTTTTCTCTGTACCCCTCTCTCCTTTCTTCCTGGCAGGACCCCAGACACGCGGTCCATCTACCTTGTCCCTGCTGCAGCCCTGGCTGGAGGAGCCCATGAAGGAGGGATCACCACCAGATGGGCTGGTGTTGGGGGTAGTTACTGCTGTTCAGGAGCCCCAGTACTCAGGATCGCTCAGCTCTGAGTGGCCAACCGCAGCTGTGAACTGGGGGCTCACAATCTTTGCTCTTTGCCATCCCTGAGTCCTGTACTGACCATTGGAGGCCTTGTTTTATGTTGGGGTTTCCCTGGCCAGGGAAGGCCTCAGGAAGAGGTGGCCCTGCATCAGCCTTTCAGGGGAAAGGAACCCCCACCTCACTCCCAGACCAGCTTTGGACCCAGTCTCTCTCAGACCCAGAGCCTTCTCAGCCTTGGCCCTCACCCCTGGGGACTATGGCTGACCCTGGTCCCCATCCCAGGACATGGCCCTTAGACACCAGTGACAGGACCCAACTCCTGGAACCTAACCAGGGGTCAAGCTACTTCCCTGAAAGGAGCTGAGGGCCTTGGCCAGGGATGCTCCATGGATGGGAAGAATTAAAGGATTGGGGGCTGGGGACCAGCCTGACCAGCAGGGAGGTGGGGGTGCCTGGAGACAGCCCAGCAGCCCTTGTCTGACAGGACCAGATCCTAGCTACAGGCACCAATCTTGCCAGAACAGATCAGTTTTGGGGCTTCTGAAGTTTTTTAAATTGCAGAGGTACTTTAAGCAATGAACAAAATGACAAATACAAGGCTGGGCTCAGAGGTCACATCCTCAGGCTCCAGGGCAAGCACAGCCTTTGGGGTCAGGTTAACCTGGGTTCAAACCCACAGTGGGGCAGGTCCTGCTGCAACACCACCCTGCTTCAGACTCTTGCCTCCCCTGGGCCAGGCCCAAACCTCCCTGGGAAGGTGCTCCCCAATGAGGCCACATGGGCCACAGGTCCACACTGTCCCTTTGCCCAGGAAGCACCCCAGGGCCTCTCCAGCCCAGGCTGTCTCCTCACACTGGTTACTCGGTCTGCCTGACCCTTGTGATCACCAGCCAAACCACATTACAGGAAGAGTAGGCCCAGGGCTGGCACCCAGCTTTGCCAGGGGCAGCTAGGTGGGTGGGTACTCATCCTGATATGGCCAGAGTGCACCCCTTCCTGCCCTCCATGTCTCCTCTCCATGGCAAAGATGCTGCTGCTCTCAGGTGGGGGACACTGGGCCAAGCCCTGAACCCACTCCTACCCCAAGGTGACAGAACCACTGTGGGGCTCTGAAGTCCTTCTGGGGCCACACTGGGCTTGAAGGTCCTCTAATTCTAGGCCTGCAGCTTGCCCACCAGTGGCCTGAGGGCTGAGGCTGACGCAGGTGCAGGTGGACTGGCAAACACTTATGTGCTCAGGGACTGAGAGCCCACAGGGAGTCCAGCTGGTGGGCTCTGCTGCCCCCTCGACTCAGTTGGGAATATGACATGTCTGGCAGCACACTGCACTTCACCCAGTCTCCCAGGAGAACTGGGATGAAATCTTGTTGTGGCAGCCAGATTTAGCCTAGGTTTTCTGGAAATGTGCCCCCCCCCCCCCTTACCCAAGTTGACTGCATTTGAAATGCAGGCTGCCTGTATCACCTATAGCCAGCAGCACAGACACTCAGATATACAGGTGGAAAAACCCTGGTCAGGGGCTAGCACATGCCACCTTTATTAAAGCTGCCCCAACCTTCTTACAAAGTGGCAAGTGCCAGGGAGGGTGGCCGCCATGGGTGCAGCTGGACTGGAAACCAGAGAGAGCCATTCCACAGGCTCACTCCAGGGTCCTGAGTGAGGAGTTGGGTCCATCTGGCTGGGGGACATCACTGTACTGGGAGCCCTGCAGCCAGAGAAAAGCGGACCTGGATGCCTTTCACAACCAGCAGTGACAAGTGCAACTTGAAGGGCAACGGGCAACAAAAGGGGGCAGGGGTGGGAATGCAGGCACTGAGTAGGGCAGATGACAGCTGCCCCAAAGGCATGAAGGCACATCTGCTGGGGAGCCTCTGGGCCCTCCTTCTCTTGGGCAACATTTGACCTTTGCATTTTCATGTGGGCACAGCCCTTTACAGTTTATAAAGGCTCTTCCACATCTGCTTTCCAGTTGGATTTTCTTGACAGAGAGGTAGGCAGGACAGGGCAGGTCTCAGCTAAGGCTTGAGAAGTGAGGCACTGACTGGTACAAGCTGAGTGCTCCGCTGGGGTGAGCAGGGTGCTCCAGTGGGGGAAGCTGGCTGCAGGGCTTGGGTCCCTGCCCATGGCAGCCCCAACTCTACTGTCAGCTCCGCAGCCAGTTGGTGTTCTTGTCCAGTGTAGAAAAGCGGATCAGCTTCAGGCTAGGTGGCTGGGGCTTCCTGTCATCCCAGAGGTACTCAGGGGACAGCACTTTGGTGGGCTTGTGCGAGATGAAGCGGCGGTTCAGGTGGCTCTCCTCCTGCCAGGCTGCCATGATGCCGTTGGCCTTGTCCGCCAGGATGGCCATGTGGCAGCCCTTGGTAAACTCGTACACCCTGTCCACCCGTCCCCCAAAGACCGCCCCACCGTAATAGAAATCTCCCTCGCCGGCCGCCACAAAGGCAGTAGAAACCAGCCTGCGCTCATAGGGGAACTCCTGGCGGGGTGCTGCGTAGTAGCCCGGGTGGATGGCGGCCACCAGGTCTCCCAAGGTCTCAGGGCCCCAGGGGTTCCGGAACACCATGTCCACGTCCACGCAGAAGAGGTAGTCCACCTCCCGGTGCGCGCGCTGCGCGATGTGCTGGCTGATGGTCGCCATCCGGCGCATGGAGATCTCCTCCCAGCGGGGGTGCCTCCGGATGGGGATGACGCTGAGGCTGCGGCCGGGGCCCAGGGGGACCTGGGGGACGGCCGCGGGGTCGTCAGTGAAGACATAGTAGCACACGCGGTAGCCGCGCATGAAGAACTGCTCCGCCGACTCCAGGAAGTGCTGGGCAAAGCGGGTGTACCTGGTGGCAAGAACCCGTCATCCCCGGTGGCTCCAGCAGCACCACCACCCGGCTTCTGCTGTTCCCTCACTCGGGCTGCCTCCCCCTCCTGTTCCATGCCAGGGCCAGACCCCCTTCCTCCAGGAAGCCCCCCTTCCACCAGCACACTCTCCTCTCTACCTTCCCCCGGCGCAGCACCTGGTTCGTGGCCTCCCTGGTGTCCGGGCGGGGTGCTGTGTCCAGCTCTTGCCTCACCCCAGACTGTGAGCTCCAGTGGCTGAGAGAGGACCACCCCTCCCCTGCCCAGCCTGCTACTCACCTCCCCACAGCGAACACCGTGAGCCCAATGGTCAGGTTCAGTGGCTGGTAGATGTGCTGCAAAAGCTCCAGGTTGAAGGTTCCCTCAGAGACGATGGGTGCCAACCAGGGCGTGAGCGTCAGCAGCTCTGTGGGCCTGGCAGCAGGGGAGGCCAAGGAGGCTGAGACCCTCCCTTGTGAACACCTCTGGCTCACCTTGGCCCTGCCTCCCATGCTGTGTGACCCCCGGTAGCTTTGTCCCTGTCTCTGGGCCTCAGCATCCTCAGGTAGAAAATGGGGATAGTAACAGCTACTTCCCAGGGTGGTCGGGAGGACCAGGAGTTAAGGCACCTCAGGTGTCTAGAGGAGCCTGGCATGTGAGGCACTGGCTAAGTGCCTAATGAATGGGGTTGTCAATATTGTCACTGGTGCTGGATTGAGCACCTGCCATGAAGCAGGCACCATGCATCGCAGTTCACAAACCCTGCCCAGCCTCCTGTGAAGTGGGTATTATTATTACCACCCACCTGGACCAAAAAAGTGCAGAGCAGTTGGGTAACCTGCCCAAGGGTCACACAAATAGTGTGACTGGAGCTGGACTGGAGCCCAGGCCTCCGCCTACCTGAACACCAAGGCCATCTGGCCCCTCCACCACCCCAAGTTATCAGTCAGAGCTCTGACCCCCCACCTTCCAACCCAGGTCTCTCCATGCTGCACCCAGACCCTAATCAGCACCTACCTCTGCTCCAGCAGCTTGGGCTGAGGGTACTGTGACCTGCAACCGAGAAGGGCCAGTGGTGAAAGAAGCAGCCCCCACCCCTGGGCCACAAAGGGGAAAATGACAGTCCACTTACTGTGCCACAGGCTGGAATGGCTTCTCCCCCCTGTACTGCAGCTTCATGTTGCTAGTGGACAGAGACAAGAAAGCCGTTAGTGCCAGGCGGTGGCAGAATGAAGCTGAGATTAGCCCAGCACCCCAGGAGGCAGGCACCCCCCAGGTTCCAGGCGGCACTGGGAACCCTCCCCACTGCTGTCTGCTCTGCAGGGGCTGGGCTTCTACAGAAGCATCTGTCCAGGGTCACCGAGTGGCAGGGTGGTTGGTGTCTAGAAAAAAATAACTCGGTAGAACCCAAAGATAGACAAACTGGAAAGGGAAAAAAATGCAGCAAATGTGCTCAGCTGAGGGTGATGACAGAGAACTGCATATGACCAAAGGGAGAAGGGGACCTGGGAGAGGAAATGTGATCAATGGGAAAGCAGAAGGCCTGGGGGAGAGGGGGGCTTGGAGGAATGAAACACATGAAATCTCAGCCAGGAGACAGCATTTCCTACCTCTCCAGTCAGCAAGGGGGTTTGGTATTTAATTTTTCTAGTTCCTGGTCCCTCCAGCAGGGGCCCAGGGGCAGTATTGCGGTGCATGGGGTGTGCCTGAGTCCTTCTGGAAAGCAACCTGACAAGCTAGGTCAAGAACCTCTCCATGTCCTTTGACCCAGGAAGGTAACACACCAGATGAAAAGACCTTTAAGATGGAAAAAGCTTTATATCCAAAGTTGCTCCTTAGGAACTACTTTAGAACACTGGGAAATTGGAAAGAACCGGATTCCCTGTGGAATTAAGCGATGGTGACCATGAAGAGTATGGACACAGGAGGAAAAATAAACCCACTTCTGGGAAACAGGATAAAAATCGCAAAAACATTAAGATCACAACTTTTTAAAAATTTAAATATTGTACCAACCTTGCATCCCCAGAATAAATCCCACTTGATCATGGTGTATGATCTTTTTAATGTCTTGCTGGATCCAGTTTGCTAATATTTTATTGAGAATTTTTGTATCTATGTTCATCAGGGATATTGGCGGGTCATTTCCTTCCATTTTATTTCCTTTCCTTTTTTTTTTTTTAAATAGGGAGAGGGAGAGATAGAAAGATCAATGATGAGAGAGGACTCATCGATCAGCTGCCTCCTGCATGCCCCCCACTGGGGTTCGAGCCCACAACCGGGGCATACCTCCAGGTTCCTGGGTTGACGCTCAACACTGAGCACACCGGCTGGGCTAATTTTCTTTCTTTGCAGTGTCTTTATCTGATTCTGGAAATAGGATTATGCTGGCCTTGTAAAATGAGCCTGGGAGTCTTTCCTCCTCTTGAATTTTTTGGAATAGTTTCAGAAGGACAGGTGTTAGTTCTTTGAATGTTTGGTAAAATTCACCTGTGAAGCCATCCGGTCCAGGACTTTTGTTTGTTGGGAGCTTTTTGATTACTGCTTCAATTTCACTAGTTGTAACCTGAGATCACAACTATTTTCAATGGCAAGTAGCCTTTCTGCTTTTAGAACCAAGTAGATGCCCAGTGTGTTCATTTACAAAGTGCAGCAACCGACAAGCTGAAAACAAACTTCGGAATTGGAGCAAGATTCAGACTGGTGGGACCCAACAGGGTTTGTTTTTTTTTTGTCTTTTCTGTTTTCCAGCTTCCTAATTTACTATATTCTATGTTTAAATTTTTTTAATCTTCACTCAAAGATATGCTTTTATTGATTTTATTTTATTATTATGTTTTTAATTCTCACCAGAGGATTTTTTTTTTTTTTTTTTTGCATTGATTTTTAGAGAGAGTGGAAGGGAGGGAGAGGGGGGAGAGAGAGAGAAACATCGATGTGAGACTCATTGATTGGTTGCCTCCCACACTAGCCAGGGCTAGGGATCGAACCTACAACCTAGGTACGTGCCCCTGACACTTCCGTGCATGGGCCGATGCTGTAACTACTGAGCCACACCGGCCAGGGCTGTTTCTGTTGATTTTAGAGAGAGAGAGGAAGGGAGAGAAACATTGACTTGAGAAACACTGATCAGCTGCCTCTCGCACGCGCCCTGACCGGGAATCAAACCCACAGCCTAGGTATGTGCCCTGATTGGGAATTGAACCCACAACCGTTTTGGTGCATGCTCCAACCAACTGAGCCACTGGGCTGGGGCTATAGTCTAAGTTTTTATAATAATAAAACATGCCTTGTTAATTAGTAGGCTATGCTCCAGATTTTAAACTTTCCTTTAGTTGTCACGGAACAGGACACGGTGGGGCCAGATGCCCCCTTGACACTGTCCCAACCCATTTTTTCACTCTGAACTGTCAAAAAGTCAGATGTGTTATGTGGGCAAGACTTTAGTCACATGTTAATTTGTCCCTTGAATCCACATAGAACACAGAGTTGAGCAAAATGGTCAAGTCCTAAAAGCCCTGTTTCCTGAGCACCCACTATGAGTCAGGTGCCACCCCAGGCTACTCAGGCACCTTCGCACTCTATGATCCCGGGAGCCCGGGAGGAGCACTCCTACCATCCCATCTTACAGACGCGGCAAGTGAGGCTCGGAGCTATGCAACATGCTCAAGGTCCAACTGCAGAAGGGGTGTTGCAAGGACACAAAAAGACCGAAACAAGGCAGCCCATAAATTACCCAAACACTCCATACTGATCGTGAGCTTAAGACCTAAGAACCTGCAGCCAAAGTGACCTTAAAACTCCCATCTCCCCCACTCCTTGCAGCCCACAGTGCCCCAGTTCTCCCAGCCCCATACTTACAAGATCTCTGGGCAGGGGAGGTAATAGGGGACATAGGAGAATGGCAGCCACTTCTCGACATACACCCTGGGAAGGAAAAACACAGCTGATGCAGCTGGCCCAGAGGCTGAAAACCCATTTGGTGCACATTAGTGGGAGTGAAGGCCCCAGTAGTGGATCTGCGGTCCCCATTGGGGGACAGGAGAGGTGGGCATCCCCTGAAGGGGTGAGGTTTGGGGGCTGAGATGCCAAGAGAGGAGTCTGAGGTGGGGCTGGAGGGCTCCATGGGGCATGCTCACCACAGAGCGCAGAGGGCCATGCCCACAAGCAGGCAGAGCCCCAGGCCCAGGGCCAGTCTGTGGCAGCGCATGGCTGGGTGCCGGGCCTGAGGCCAGGCACCTGCTGAGGGTGGGTGTGCCTTGGCAAGTCAGCCTCTCTCCGAGCCCGTTTCGGTGCCGGGAACACCTGCAAAGACAGTGGCCCCATTCTTGTTGCCCCACCAGGGGAGTGGGGACCCCAGGCCCAGCTCCTGCGGCTCCGGGCGCCAGTTCTCACCAGCTCAGCGCTCAGCGGACGCCAGCAGCGGTGCCTTGGGGGGGACACTGGGCCCCCAGCTTGGCCACTCAGGTCTCCCTCAAACTCCCCCCACGGCGGTGAGCAGAGGGCCCCGGGCTGGGGCTACAGTGCGAGAGGGGGGCGTTTGGGCCGGACTTGGAGAAGGGGTCCAGGGAGCAACCGCGAGGACACGGGCGCCCCTGCAGCCCGCACACGGCCGCGCGTCCCCCGGGGAGGGCGTGCGGGTCGCTCCAGGGGCCGCGGGAACGCGCTCCAGCGCTCACAGGCTTGGGAGCCCGTAAGTCACTCCCCCCCCCCC